CCTGGAAATTGCAGCCTCGTCTCTTGGAGAAAGCAGATCTGGCGAGCGTGAAGTTGGCCAACTCTACAGTTCTTTATTTAACAACTCGGTAACTTTGTCGAAAAAACATGGAGTGATTAACGTAAGCGATCACAGGTGCACTCAACAGCATCGCCGTCATCGTCAACGTGAATGATGATGCTCAATTTTTAAAAAAATAAAATAAAAAAGCAGAAGTCACTCTAAATCAAGCTGCAATCCTATATCCCATTTAGTTCAATGGGATTGCTCTTACAATTCTGGGAATTAAGCCTTTTGGAATTCCATTGGACTTACTTTTGGTAGACATGTATAGGATTGCGCATCTGGGCCAGTTTGAAGCTGGAAGCTTCACTCGATTCAGGGCTAAATTCTTTCCCATAGATTTCAACTGCCCGAAGCTGAGTTCAACTCACCTCACCTTCCCACATGGTCTGTGGCTCATAGGCTGCTGAGTATTAATCGCTTTAGTTATGCAACTGATCACTGTTATGATGCACCTTCTTTCAGAATGACACAGTTTAGGACCAACAGATACAGTAATAATAATAATAATTGCATGCCATCAAGTCTAGTCAATAAAAGCGATTTCATATTACAAGTTGCTCTGTCTTTGGTATCAAAATTCTAGGAAGAGATTCCAGGTCGTATCTTACAACCCTTAGAGCAGTGGTCTCCAACCTTGGGCCTCCAGATGTTCTTGGACTTCAACTCCCAGAAATCCTGGCCAGCAGAGGTGGTGGTGAAGGCTTTTGGGAGTCGTAGTCCAAGAACATCTGGAGGCCCAAGGTTGGGGACCACTGCCTTAGAGGATCAACTCCATTTACTTGAAGATTTATTGCTTCCCTGTTTGATCATGATCCACGTGTTTCTTTTCTAGCTACATTGCCAAGGCTGTGAAATAAATCCATGCAGTCTTTCTGGAGCAGAATCCTTTATTCACTTTTTGGACTACAATACCCCAAATCCCCCAGCTCAGATCATGTTGGCTGGGCCATTCTGGAAATGGTCCAAAAAATCACAAAAAAACCTACACCAAACTTCTCTCAATTAGCCCTAGAAGCTAGTGAAGTTTATTGTGTGGGTGATCTGCTAGTTTAACGCAGACGTCAAAGGCAGGATTTATGTAATGGGGATTTTTATGTAACGGGTGGGAAAAAAGTTACCTTTCCAACCGAGCACATGGAGAGAGAATGATATTTACGTTGCATGTGTCTATGTCTATACAGCTGGTTTAGTTTTGAAGCTACTTTTTAAGAGTAAAATTTCCAGGCCCTTTTCAGAGATACTGCGGCTGTTTGGGATTTTTTTTAAAAAAAGTTTTACGCTGATCAATCTCAAGATTTTCTTTTTGGAGAAAAATGAAAGAAGCAACAGAGAAGTTTTTTTAAAAAAACCCCAAGTAATATAACAACACAAGGTAGCGAAAACAACAAAAACAATAGCAAAATCTGTTACAAAGACAGATTTCACGTTTGTTATACAAGCTAAACCACGCAGCCTGGAAAATGGTTACAAATTATTTTTAGAACACTGCAATTAGTAAGGAGAATGGATGGCTCTTTGAACATCACTTCCCAAAGTCTGATTTACCTCTTTTGTGATGTTATTCAAGGTTTCTGACAGAGTCTGTCTGCTCTACCTATGAAATAGTCTTATGCCATAAAACATATGATTCCAAAATGACATAAATATATTCTAACCATGTGCTCTGGGATGATTTGAAAAGCCAAGAGGGATCCAAACGGTTGCCATTGTTGTATTTATTTGTGCTTTTCCTTTGCTGAAAGGAGGCAAAAAACTGGGGAGGGGGGAATAGCATAAATCCTGTACACCACATTTTTCCTGTTGCTCTCCTATGAAACCTGGACATCATCAAGAGTAAAGCAATACGGAGGCAGCGGCTCTAAATAATGAAGCTGCTCTCTCTCTTCTCCTGCTGCCTCTGACTTTTCCTGGCATTACAGACTTTTCCAACAAGGCCCGTCTTTCTACAATGGGCTCCCAGTAGGACAGCCTCAGCTTCATCAGTTTTGCTGCCAGGCATGATTTGACCCAAGATCCACTTTGTAGACTTTGTGTTGGTCCCGAATATCCACCAGACCCTCTTCCAGTTTGATAGAGGCCCTGGATTCAAACCAGTTTTTAACTTTGCTTTGGCATCAAATTTGGCCAGTTTGCTTTGATTCCGGCATCTTGTTGTCATTGTTTAGTTGCTGTGTGCAACTCTTCGTGACTCCATGGACCAGAGCACGCCAGACCCCCCTGTCTTCCACTGCCTCCTGGAGTTGGGTCAAATTCATGTTGGTCGCTTCGATGACCCTGTCCAACCATCTCGCCCTCTGTCGTCCCCTTCTCCTCTTGCCCTCACACTTTCCCAACATCAGGGTCTTTTCCAGGGAGTCTTCTCTTCTCATGAGATGGCCAAAGTACTGGAGCCTCGGCTTCAGGATCTGTCCTTCCAGGGAGCACTCAGGGTTGATTTCCTTCAAAATGGATAAGTTTGTTCTCTTTGCATTCCGGGGGATCTTGGCATCTTGTGGCTCAGTTCAAATCAAGCCTATTTGGACTTTGGTTGGAGACGGTGCTCAGCCAGCCCTAACAAAAACCTTTAGGGACTCCATAAACCTCCCTCTTTTTTCCTCCCTTGCCTTCTTGCGATTTCAGGAATGGCTTGAGAAGCCAAGCATCCAAGAAATGACCGGCCTTACATCAACCCCCCAGGGCATCCGTTATCCCTTGAGCCCACAACCTTATACAGCCGAGTATTCTTCCGTGAAAACCTATACTTCTGAAAGTTTTTTTCCATCCTAGATCACAGGCCATTATTGGGTGGCAGGGCCGGCCCTACCTGAGGGCGAAGTGGAACCTACCTTCGGGGGCCAGATTTTTTTAAACATCTGGGTTGCTTCCCCCCCCCCTGCATATTTACTTACGCTTGGAGGCTCCAACGACCAGACCCATGCATAGGATTCCAACTACACCTGCACCCCCAAGATAATATTTTCTGTGCATTTGCAACAACAGGATGGCTGCTAAAGATTGCACATCTGTTGCTTTTCTTTTTTATTTATCATTTTTAGTTTTCTCTGTTTCATATCTGTCTTGAGTTCAAGCAGTATACTTTGCTCTCCCCTTTTATCCTCGCGACACCCCTGTGAGGTAGGTCAGGCAGTGACAGCCAAGTCCACCCAGTGAGGTTCATGACCCAGTAAGGCCAGGTCTCCCCCCCAAAAAAAAATAATCCATTATCTGTGCTTTCAGGGAAGCAGAGATCTTGAAGTCAAAATCCTCGGCCGAGAGATGAAAACTGCAAAAGGCTGGACACTGGGAGCAGGTCTTTTGCAAATTCAATGGCTCTTGATTGCTCATTTGAAACCAAACCACCTTCAACCCTTTTGCGCTACAAAAGGGATCACTAGCAACAGCACACGATTCCTGGGAAATTCCATTCCCCACCTCCCTTCCCACCCCCAGTTACAGGGAAGATTGTAGTTAAAAGTCACAGAGAATCGGAAAAAACCTGGAAATGAGGTGGTAACAGATGATGACATCCCCTTGGGCGCCAAGAAAGCCCCCTATGCAACACTGAGCTTGATTTGGGGGGACAGAAGAGGGCTCGATCCTATGGAGCCAGCCCTGCAAAGTTCGTACTAAAACCCCAAAGGAACCAGAATACTTTATTGCTTTGCCAGCCTATCAGGCGACACGCCCAGAACGGAGACTAAACCAATCATCACATCGTCTTGGGCATCTCCTGCAGCTACATACAAGCAAGCGTAAGAGGCCTAAAGCAGTGGTCCCCAACCTTGGGCTTCCAGATGTTATTGGACTCCAACTCCCAGAGCCCAGCAGAGGTGGTGGTGAAGGCTTCTGGGAGTTGTAGTCCAAGAACATCTGGAGGCCCAAGGTTGGGGGCCAGTGGCCTAAAGGGCTAAATCATGGTCATAAAATGTAATAGCATTCTTAAGAAAGAAAGAAAGAAAGAAAGAAAGAAAGAAAGAAAGAAAGAAAGAAAGAAAGAAAGAAAGAAAGAAAGGGGGAAAATAGGAATTAAGTGTGAGATTTACTTGAAGGCCTTTCAAAGCAGACAAGACACATCTAAACCCCCCCATGGATCCAGGACAGCCAGTGACACCCGCAAACCCTGGCGAAATCAGAGTCTCCTTCCTCCAACAGTCATAAAATAAAATAAGGTAAAATAAAAGAAAAAGTAAAATAAAATAAAGTAAAGTAGTAAAATAAAACAGAACAACCCCTCCCACGGTTTCCACCGCCACCTGCCCCTCCCAGGGGTGGACGCCTCCCTCCAGGGCGTCCCCGCCTCGGGTCGCGCCTGGCAGCCAACCCGCCGCGCTCCCGGACTCGCGTGCGTCTGACTCAGGGCGCCGCTCCTGCGCCTTTTAAATTGGCCACCGGGCGCATCCTTTTCTTTTTTTTGCTGGCTGGCTGGCTTGCAAGGCAGGCGGGCGGGTGTCCCTTCTGGCTCCGAACGGCGCCTGCGCTCCTCGACAAGGGGAGGGAGAAGGAAAAAAAATTAATTAAATAAAAATACAGAACGCGAGAGGGAGAAAGAGGAGAGAAGAAACACATCCTCCAGATGAGCTTCCCAGGTCTTTTGTCTGGGGCTGGGGAAAAAAAACAAAACAAGGACGGTGGCTTGCTTTATTTTTAATTTTATTTTTTTTCCTCCATCCCTTTCCACGGATCTTTCCTTTTTTTCCCCACCTTTGCAGGAATATTTAACAAGGCAAGAAGACCCAGCCCGAAGGAACCTTTGCAATTATTTTGATTTATTTTTTTTTGGAAAAGTGCTTCGCCCTCGACGTAACAAAAGGATTCTAAGCCTCCCTTTCTGCTTTTTAATTTTATTTT